TCCCCCCCCCCCCCCCCCCCCCCCCCCCCCCCCCCCCCCCCCCCCCCCCCCCCCCCCCCCCCCCCCCCCCCCCCCCCCGCCCCCCCCCCCCCCCCCCCCCCCCCCCCCCCCCCCCCCCCCCCCCCCCCCCCCGCATAGTAGGATCACGAGGGGAGGTGTTGTCTCTTCCAACACATAAAATATGAAACACAAGTAAGAGAAACAAGACCAATCAGAGCAATTCAGAGTATATGAAACCCATCAATCCTCCGAGCAAGGTACAATGTACATATTTGCACCATTGGTCAATGTATAGCGCGTCTAATGATCCGACCACATCCCCAACCCAGGCAGATATGAAACTCGGTATCAAATGAAATCGAGAAAAGGAAGCAACTTACAAGTCAGGATTGAGAGAATGGGATTGTGAGTAGAGGATGAAAGGTGAAAGGTGGAAGAAGGTGAAAGAGGAAAACCACCTAAATGACCTCCGCTGACGGCTCACACGGCACTGGGCGGAGAGAGCCAAGACTGCCGGGGTGGAAATGGATCTTAGATCTGATATATGGGGTATCTCGTGGATCTGATATATTTCATATACTTGATTTCAGAGGCATATTGGAGTGTATACGAGGTCCGTTGCGAATTCATCGTACGCATGTTTATGACACCTCTCCGCCTTTGGTCGATGACGCTATGATCTTGTTTCTTGTTATCTTGCCACTGTCATACTCATGCACGACATAGGTAGATCTAGATTTAAACAGCTAACCTCGCAAACTCCAATGTACCTGCATCGTCCGCTTCATTGTGGATAGGTTGCTCACTTTCATCAGCCTCGGTCCCTTGTTGAAGGTCGCTTTCGTCCTTCGCCTTCTTGATATCCATATGACCTAGTGTATATTCATCTGGATCCCACGCCAAAACTCTGCTATTCATCTCCTCCAATTTCTGCACAGCAAGCCGTCCCATATCAAGTTTCTCCTCGGAGTTCAAGTGCTCAAGTCTTTCCTTCCATGCATCGGCGGGATCAGAACACTAGTTGGTCCGAAAAATCGACTGTCGATCTTTTGCCAGTATGTAGCATCGAATGCAAAATTGTTCCTCGCGATGTACGCAATCCAGAAATCCCCACTTTCCCAACTCTCTTGCATCGGACCAGACAGTCTCTGGTCTTCTTTTAGTTGAGACTTCTTGATCGCTTTATCCTCGCGATTGATCAGGGCCCTTAGGAATGTCTGAAGTCGACACTCATACTCCCTACACCAGTCTTCAAGACCGCCATCTGTGGGCCAGTATTCGGGCTTTTCAATAAGAAGCCACCAAGGTGGCACGTAGGTGAATTCAACGGGGGCAGCATATGTGAACTTCCAGTCCACAACTGCAGCAATTTTCGATTCCTTGTTGAGAAGGACATTACCTGGTCGGAAATCGTCGCACCAAAGTTTAAAGGGGCTATGCTCAAAAGATGCCCATCGTCTTGTGAGTTTTTGTTCTCGCGCGAGTTTTCGGAAGAGACATCTGGCAACGAACTTGTGTCGACAGTCATCGGCCGAGTCAACGGCGTCGTTCCTTTGGTTCATAAGATGTGTCATATGCAGCTCTGCTAAGCTCTTGAAGTATAACGATGTTGAATCGAATGTAGTGTCCAGGCCCGGTAAGCACGCTTGAGGCAGTGATCCTAATCGAATAAGTTCATTCATAGGCATCGAAAGAGGTCGAGATGCCACTTCCCAGGTGAGATCATCAATCTGGCCAAGTGACCCTATATGAGTAAGGGACGGCCGAGAGAGCTGAAGCAGAATATTTGCCAGCTCTCCCTAGAGCCGCTCAAGTTCATCCTCATCAAAATCCGGGTCAAGAATTCTACGGTATGCCCGTGAGCGACCTGGCGTATTGAGAACATCGTACATGTTCGTATGGTGATCCATGTATTCCATGATTATAAAGGGGCCCAACTCTGGATCCAAAGGGCCGTCCTTCCGCGTGCCCCAATGAAGGACAAAAGGAACCGGGATGGAAGTCTGGTCAAGAATGTATCGCATTATAGCGACCTCATTGCGGACTTTCTCTTCGGGAAACATAATGGCACCAGCTGTGGAAGACGTATTATAGCGGAACTAGTATTCTTGTATGTCATCTCAAAAGAGATATTGAAAGCTCCTTTTTCCAAAAAATCAAATGAGTCAGGCTTGTCGGGTTCGTGATGTCTCACAAGGAAACGTCCAAGCTTTCTCAAGATGTCGAGGTCGGTGAACTGGGCGATCCAAGCTTCAGACATCTCTTCGCTTTTCTCCCAGGCAGCATCATCGTAGTACATGCGTGGTTTCATAATTATGGATAGCTTGTATAGATGAACTTGGAGGAGATAGGGGAAGATCAAAGGTGCATAGCGTGACGCCGCGTGAGCACTAAACTGGAAAGGGAAAGCTAGAAGATCCACTTGATACATCATAAATATGAAGTTCTCAGGTTAGGTACTTATGTACACCTACGTGGCATACGTAGGCAATTAGCCTTGATAACTATAGAATCTGCTTAGTGTAACCAATTGCAGGATGTGATCAAGCATATTCACATAAAACTACAACTCGAAGAAGAAAAGAAAGCATTAGGAATTAGATCTATTACCATGAACTAAAGTTTCCAAAGCCTCCAGACACCTTGGCCTTTTTGCGAGCGGGCTCAGGTGCAATCTCCTCGTCCAGAAACTCTACAATCTCATCTTCTTCCTGTCCATCCCGGTCTTCCAGTGCTGCCTTCAGATACTTTCCAACTCCCGAGACACCGCCATCATTTGAGTCCGCCTCAGAACCGCGGACCCGCTTTCCAGTCCAGGTGACTCGATCATCGTCCGCACGGCGAGAAATCTCCTCTTCCTCTTCTGCAGAAGGACCCGTGGCACCTGTGGCCCGCGCCTCTTCGGCGCGCTTCTGGGCCAGGAAGTCCTCGAACGGATCTACAAAGACCGTTATTTCCTTGATACGAATATCGGGGGTAGGGCGATTCGTAGTTGTTTCCACTGGGTGGATCTCTAGCTTATTCAAAGTAGTGGACGAAGGCGTTGGGTCGTCGATTAGACGGCCGAAGATGGTGTGCTTGAGGTTGAGATGAGGTAGGGCTCGATAGGCGATGAAGCTGAAAGCACATGTTAGCGCACTCATTGAGCCAGGGGTAATCGCAAGGGGCCACTTACAATTGACTACTATTTGTGTTTTTGCCTTTGTTGGCCATGCTCAGCGTGCCTCGGGAATCGTGCTTCAAAGGCCCTTCAAATTCATCGGCAAAGTATTTGCCCCAAATACTCTCGCCACCTCGTCCAGTACCAGTTGGATCACCACCCTGGAGCATGAAGCCCTTGATATTACGGTGAAATGGTATATCGTTGTAATAGCCCTTCTTGGCCAACTGAAGGAAGTTCCACACGGCTTTGGGCGCATGCTCGGGATACAACTCCAGATTGAGATGCCCGGCGGTGGTCACAATGCGCGCGTAAGCCTTGGCCTTCACGCGGCCACGCTTGAGCATGTATTCCTCCTCCGATAGTACCGCTAGCTCGGCAGACGTGTGTGGCGTCAGCCCGGTGCTAGTAAACGACGCAGCCGCCTTGCCCGTAGTGAATCGTGCAGCGTTGTAGGGTGTTGGCTTTCCCGTTTGCCCCTTAGAAGCTACATTCGCAGCTACAGTCTTCGAACCCACTTTCGAGCCAATCGCAGCAGAACCAGCCTGCTGAGCACGTTCTGACCGTGCCTTTGCAACTGCCTCTTTCGCTTTCAGAATCTTCGCCGAGCTGCCGAGTGCACTGGTGTTGACGCTCCCAGAGGTCGGTTGGCCTTCCAAGATTCCTGTCTCCCCCTCCTTGATGTAGTTGAACGAGCTGAGGTTGCGCGACTCGATGTTCTGCGGGTCCTGCAAGGTGATAATATCTTTTCGGCTGAATTCCTCATCCGTGACCAAGTCGCGCCACAATTTTCCCTTGATGTTGAGTCGCTCCACCGTATCCCAGGAAAAGACATTCCCTGTATTCCGTAATGCGACGATATGTGTATTATCGGTCAGAATCTTGTAGGTCACCGGATCGACGTAGTCACCATCCTCGTTCTTCGCGAGAGTCAACTTAATCAAGTCCGAGCTCTTCAATGGGGCCCCATCGACAGGATTGGTCCCATGCTTCTTGATCCATGGCAGAATGTTTGTGAGGTCGAATAGTGTTCCTGTAGGCGTGCAAACCGGGTGTGAAAATGGTTGGAGGGAAAGGGAACAGAAATTGAACGGCAAGCGCTTGAACGCGGCGTGGGGGCCGCCCTTCTTGGCCTTGGAAACTCCAGCGCCAGCACTGGCCGAGAAAGCATCTGCAGATGCCCACTCGGAGTGTGTGATCTAGAGAGAGTACAATTATCAGCGGGGATTCAAGATGCGAGTATTGGAATGTAGAGGAAAATGTCGCGTACATAAAGCTTATCGGTTCCTATAGTCAACAGCGTTAGTGAAATTGTACAAAAAAGCCCTCACACACGACATACCTTTTCCCATAATTGAAGATCAAGCTGTTCAGCAACTTTCGCGCAGCGCAGCCCGCGGAGATCGAATGACGGCAGGACGCTTACCGCTTTGAGATTACGGGGCGAATAATATTGCCGCGCAGAAAATATATCAATAAGTAAGCGGAGTAAAAGGCGGTAGGCTCCATTACCCTCTTCGAGCAAGATATAGATATCCAACTTCTACAAGGGAAATATGGGCTTAAAATTCCATTTGTATTATCTGGCTTCGACATTTCGGGCCATTTGTCCAGAACCTGAGGTCAGAACAAGGCCAGTGGATAATCATACATGTACAAGTGCTAACCCCCCGCTAGAAATCCTAGAAACCCATGCATCATGAAAACAAACGCTGTGTGAACAGAGCTACCAGCTCCGCCTGAATCGTCACGCAAATTGAAAACGCCTCCGATGACAATGTAGATCGTGGTAATTCATAGGATTAGAAAGGGCCGTTGTGTTTAGGAAATTGCGGGTTGGTACTTCAATGGCACGACCCATTTGTTTCCGAAATCAATTCCATGGCGACGACGGGTACCGTACTTTCTCCAGACGATCTGAGGGATTCCGATGTCGGCAACTGCCAGATTCCAGGATAGTCTTTCACCAGACAGAACAGCATTCAGCACTCCAGTCTTGGGCGCTCCGAGGCACACCACAGATGTGGCATTGACGCAAAGTCGGCCACCTTCGACCAGAGTAACCTCGCCTGTAGATTTTTCTATATTAGCCACACCAGTTCAGACTATTTTTCGTAAGTACTTACCAGTAGAAGCATTGAGTCCGGAGGGGACATCCACAGACAACACATCGACGTTGCTGCGGTTCATCCACGCAATCATCTCAAAGGCCACACCCTGGTCGTCAGTTCGAAGGTCGTCAAAGGACAGATGCATGCCAAACAACGCGTCAATAATCAAGTCGGGCCCTAGGTCCGAGGTGGCCAAACGGGCGGATAGTTCTTCCCATTTGAGTACACGTCCCCCAACCTTGCGGAAGATATCGAGCTGTTTGCGACAGTTCTCCAGCAATTCAGCTTCGTGTTCGAGCCCGAGCAAACAGACTGTAACCCGGTGACCTCGGTTACGCAGATGGCGAGCAGCAGCAATCGCCCTTGCCCCAGTGCGATGGTTGCCAGTAAGGATAAGCATAGTGGGTGCAGCAGCATCATTGGACAGAAGAGCCACGGCAGCCTCAGCTATTCCCCGACCTGCATTCTCTGTAATGATCTCATCGGCCAATCCAAACTCGGCGACCGAGATTTGCTCGATCTCCAGAGTCTGCAACGGGCTCACCGTAGGACAGCTGCGATTGGTGGTTGCGAGCCGGAAAGCTCCAGCACTAGAAACATTAGGCGCAATCATTGGCGACACCGACGATCGGCTTGGACGAGGGCTAGTTGTACGAGAAATGTTGACGTGAAGCTGGCTGCGGCCAAGCGCACTGAGCTGTGGCACCATTGGCGGGGCCTGCATCGCGCTGTCTTTGCGGGGAGGCTGAGCGTGCGCAGGCGCCCTTGGCCGCTCGCGTCCCGAAAGTGTCTCGCTGCTCAGTTTGATTTCACTAATTCCTTCCACATCATCCCCGGTGTCGCTGTACTGTGGGCTATCGAGTACATTCTCCGTCCAGTGTAGGTTCTTTCCGCCGTTGGTGCCCGGCTTGACTCTTCGGTTGAAGCTCACCAGTCGCTCCTCGTCTGCGGTAGTGTCATCGTTTCGAATTTGTTCAAATACAGTCCGCTTATCGAATTTTGACAGGTTGCTTGCGAAGTCGAATTCGCCCAGCTCTTGGATGTCAGTAGCATCTTCGGTTGCCCAGCCACTTGGATCCTCGGCATAACGGCGTGACTTCTTCTTGCGAAGTTTATTTCCAGACCGGCTCATAGCTTCAGGTGAATCCTGGAATGCAGGGACAGCTGGCTCCACAAATGCAGTCTGGCGCCAGCCTTTGCTCTTTGGGTTGGTGCTTGCTGCGCCGCCGTGTTTAGCGACATATCCTCTCTCTTCCCGTACATTTTCTTGGTTGCCACGTCGACTCCGCTTTGGTGTCTGTTTTGATGGTGACAGTTCCTGTGGGCTTTGGAGTAATTTCTTGTGGGAAGTCCCTTGTATTCCGGTCTTGTCACTATCTGCATTCAATTCCAGGCTGCTAAATGGCTCAACCAAAGAGGCTGAGACCACCCCAGAGTGTTGGCTGGCGGGGACAGTCATTGGCGCATTCTCAACAAACGGATTAGATACGAGAGGGGCTTTTGAAAAACTCAGAATAGCCGGGTCGGTAAATCGTTGCTGTGTTGGAGTAGATTGAGTGGGCGCTGGGGGCAAGGCCATTGCTGCATAAGGTTGAAGCTGGGGGTTAGGTTGATGCTGAGGTTGAAGCTGAGGTAGGTGCTGATGCTGCGAGGGAACCTGGGTATTGGTTTCGAGAGAGAGGGTGGTGATAGCAGAGGCATCAATGGAATATTGAGGCAGGCGTTGACCGTTCCAGAGAAATGTGACTAATTACCAAAGGGTTAGTTATTATGACATTACATACTGTACTCATTCATGGCTTACCATCCTGGAGCAACAAGCGCTGCCCAAATACGTTGGCGACCTGGCCCACCAGTCTTCCACCGTGTGGCTCTTTCAATGTCACCAGCACATTGTAGCCAATAAATTCAGATGCCATGATGATTGTGAGCTTTCGTAGTCCAGCTGAACAATCATCAAGCGTGCAATTGTATTTGTTGGAAAAGCGCGTCAAACTTGAGATGACCCTACGGAGTTAGACGAGAGAGCTGTGAGACAAGCTGGGCAGCTCAATCCTAGGGCACGTGATTTATACTATCGATAAGCGATAGTCGATAGTCGATAGTCGATAAGCCGTGGAGTGGCGAGGGGGAATACGAGAATACGAGATACTATAGATATAGATGCCCATGGGTGGTTTGAAGCAATTTGTGTATTGTTGATGATCAAAATGCATTACTGATACATAAGTAGTGAGACCTTTTGGATATCGATGTTATTTCTGACCTGGGAAAAGAAAAAAAATCGCAATCTTATATATGAATCAAAAGTCTTCGTCCTCAAAGTCATCTGGGTTCAAAGCAATTGAGGACTTCGGCTTGTTGATCTCTGTGCCCCTGGTGAGTTTGGAGTAGAATTCCTGCACTTTCGGATGCACCATCACCTTCCGAGGCTCAAATCGAGTAACCTGCAGTCCCTCCTGTGACACCGCTCGACTTAGTGCAACATAAGCCTGGCCCTTTTCAAACACTCGACCCAGATCAACTTTTACACGTTGAAGAGTCTGGCCTTGGGCCTTGTGTATGGACAGGGCCCACGCCAATATCAACGGAACTTGTTGACGTTGGGCTTGTACTTCTCCGTTGGGAAGCTCAACCTTCCACGTCTCTGGTTGACACAGTAACTGGCGTTCTGACCCATCTGGCTGAAGGAAAGATACAAGCGGCCATTTCCGGGCCATTGAAGCTGCGCCTTCTTGGTTTCCCATAGGCTTCAGCTTTTTTCTAGCTTGGTGAGCCCGCTCCTCATCGCTTCCAGTCGTCGCGTCACCGGTAAAGTTTTTGTCGTTTTCCCTGAAAACCTCAAAGTAATCTTCACTCATGAAAGCTACCACTTTCCCAATAGAGCCATTGACAAGCGAATCCTCCATATTCTTAATGAGCATCACTTGGGCACCCTTCTTCAGCTGGATCATAGGAGGGGCTATGCAGCCTGCCAGCAGTCTCGCGCGTTGCTGAGGGTCCTGAATTGCTCCGGAATCCACTGCGTTGAACCTCATAATCTCGCCAGAAAGTCTTCCCATGCGTGCAGAGTTGGCACCATCCACTTCAGCGCGGGTTGGGAACCTAATTCAAGAGTCAGATTTGACACAGTATAAGTATATAGTAAAACTTACAGTTCCGTTGCCTCGAACTGGTCTTTGGCATCAAGGGGCCGAGAGAGCCGTTTAAAAGCCTCAATCGTGCGAGGGGTGATTTTACCCAGTCGCATTTCATTCAGCATATTAGCAAACTCCGGATCTCGTTGACGGAAGATGTTGGTTAAGAGAACGGTATGTTGGATACAAGTGGTCCAGGAAGCAGCTGCAAACGCAAATTTTGCCTCCCGGTTGCCTCCGTCTGGGACTGGAGGTAATTGAAAGAAGTCGCCTGTTACAACAAGCTGGATTCCTCCAAATGGACGACCATTGTTGCGCATTCGTCGGGCAATCTCTTCGAGTTTATCAAATAGATCCCCGTCCACCATGGAGACTTCATCAACGACAAGGACTTTGGTACGCAGCCAACGATTTCGAGCTTTCGGGTTTTTCTTGATCTGAATGTTGTTAGCATCTGCAATTCCTGGGTGAATAGAGAGAGACTCCAACCCTTTTCACTAGGTCGGGCACTGGCTCTTTGCCTAGACCTATCCCAGCAAAACTGTGGAGAGTCACACCCCCGATATTGCAGGCCGCAAGACCTGTTGATGCTGTGACTGCAATTCGATCGGATTCTTTGCGATATTTATATCGCAGCTGCGCAATAATTTCCCTCATGAGTACCGATTTTCCTGTTCCTGCAGAACCAGTGAAGAACATGCTCTTTCCGCGCTCGACAACAGTCTTAAGAACAGCTTGTTGCTCTTCACTCAAGAAAACATTGTGCACCTTCGAACAGTTCTCTGGTTTCGGGTTTATGTCGCTTTTTTGCGTCTTCTTGTATTCTTGTCGCAACTCTCTCTGTTCCGCTTTGATGGTGCTCTCGGACTTGTTCCATGGTTCTGCAGGCCTCGACCGTTTGGGGGTCACAAAGCTCTTTTTCTTGTCTTCGCGGGGTTCCTCTTCTTCTTTCATCCAAGGAAGAGTACGAGGTTTCTTCGCGGGCGGTTGGAAATGAGAGGGCGGCGATGACGACCAAGGTAACTGCATGCTGCTGGGAGGAGCTTCTGCTTCTTGGGATATGGATGGAAGATCGGGGTAATTGACATCTGTTAGATTTTCGTTGCCGCAAACAGACCGGTCGATTCCCAATGTAGTGTCAAGGCTTGGATATGTGACTTTGTTGGAGATGGCGGTGCCAGCCACACTCGGCATAATCAGCGGATAGGGCTCATCGAGGTCCAGATCATCATCGAAGTCATTTTCATCGAAATAAACCGCGTTATGAAGGGACCCCAGCGAGGACTCGGCCACTTCGATTTTTCGTTTGACACCACCGGATTGTGATTGTAATTGTGGCTTCGAATGGGCCATTGAATTAGCATGCAATAAGTCGGCTTGCTGAAGAGGTTTCGTGCCACTGCCTGAGTGGTCTTGGAGGGCTTTCTTGAACATTTTCTCGGGGGCTGCCGCGGGTCGAGATGAGGATGAATACGCAAATGAACTCGGCAGTCTCTTTGGGCAAGTCAAAGAGAGCAATCGAATTATGTGTATGCCCCGCGCCCTGGATATGGCAACATGCATAAAATAGAATGCAGAATGCAAACCAAGACGATGAGGTCGCGTCAGACAATTCCGATCGGGACGCAGATCGATTTTCGGTAATCAACGCGTTGCAGACGCGATTATCTGCACGTGACGGGCCACTGATAAGGATAACAACAACACCGCAAGGCTGAATATGGATTTATCTCACTAGCTTTGTACTATTCATTGCCTATTTAAGACGTTACCGAGATTCCTTGGGATTGAATATACTGTATGTTATACGACGGTCCAAATAATTAAGCTTTTGTTGGCAACTAATGACCATATTATGACAACTTGTCTGTAATATATACTTCGGGTCAATTATTCAATATTCACAACACATTGACCCAAAACAACTATGAACTACGAGTTACTATGATTTCCCATGCAATTAGACAGAGTGAGCTAGATCATCATTGTAGTTAAGTGCAATTTGTGTACCTGCATTCAAGTATACTCCAGAATGCGAGGGGAAAGCATACCACGTGATCGTCAATTACCGCAAAATACGCGGGACGAGAATGCAGAATCTAGATCTTTCCAACCACCAGTCGCAAGAGTATCTTGCCAGTCACACGATATTGAAGCAGCCTGCACTCTGCGACCATGAGGAATGGCAGGGATGGCTGTTTCGAGTACGTGGAACGGCTTTTTTCTTTCAAATTCGAGCACATTTGCTAACAAGTCATGTTATAGATAAAGACTACCCTCTGACGGGTGTAGTCATATGCTTCACATCCGTACAAGTTGAGAAGAGAGTATGTGTCAGAAAGACTCGTGAAACTGCAAGTACAGGCTGACCTACGTTCCTATTGTACAGACTCCATTGACTAAAATGGCGGAAGAAATGGGCGCGTTGCACAGTGTTCACCTTACTTCGGACGTAACCCATTTGCTTGTAGGTGACACGAACAGCGACAAGTATAAATTTGTCGCAAGGGAACGGAATGATGTGCTGGCAATGAACCCGGAATGGATCGAGGCTGTACGACACTCCTGGACACAGGGAGAGGATATGGACATACAGGCGTTGGAGAAACAATTCCGGCTGGCAACATTGCATGGCCTCAAAATCTGTATCACTGGGTTTTCGGACCGTGAGTTGGCTGGTTTCCACAATTGAGCATAGATCAACGCTAACGAATGCGCTGCAGTTCCTTTCCGAGTTTACATGAAGAAGACAACCGAGGAGAACGGGGCCGAATATAGGAAAGACCTGACGAAATCCGTGACACATCTTATTGCGCGCAACTCGGACGGTGAAAAATACAAATTCGCGACACAATGGAATATCAGAGTTGTTTCGGTGAAATGGTTTACGGATAGCATCGAGCGTGGAATGATCCTGGACGAGCAGAAATACCACCCGCTGGTACCTGCAGCAGAGCAAGGTGTCGGGGCATGGGATCGATCCGCACCGACAGAAAGGGAGCCTTCTCGGAAGGACAGCACTACCGAAGAGAACTCTTTGAATCCGCGACCTCGAAAACTACGCAGGATTGCAAGTACCAAGCTGGTAGATCAAAACGAAAGCATCTGGGGAGATATCGTAGGAACAGGATTCGATAATAACGAGACGGCTGGACCCCAAAAGAACCCACCACATGAAGCATCGAAGCCTGTCATACAGGCATATCAGTCATTCGCCAGCGAGACTACATTTTCTGAAAGCACCCAGTCTCGGCTTCCGCTACCGACTGCTCCACCAAAAGACAATGGATTTTTACACACGACTTATTTCTTCATTAATGGATTCTCTTCTAAGCAGGTTTGTGCTCATCCTCTTGTCCACATACCCTTGAAACTAATGTATCTTCTAGACTAAAGTTCTACGTGAGCATCTCACTTATAACGGAGCTCAATTAGTGGGCTCACTAAATGAGTTCTCTAGCCCTACTATTCCCAAAACAGGGCATGGGCTGTTCATCATGGTGCCGTATCAGACTCCTAGGTCAGAAATTCCGTCAACGGATGAAATGGCCTTTGAATGCGAGATCGTGACAGAGATGTGGCTGGAAAGATGCATTGATGCTCGAGCTTTTGTTCCACCCGAGTCTCATGTGGCAAGCACTCCATTCCCCAAATTCCCTATACCAGGTGAGGTCCCATCAAATGCAATATTCATACATGCTCTAATAATAATAGGATTTCCGGAATTGCGGGTTTGTTCCACCGGCTTTGGACGTATTGATCTTTTACACCTACGCAAACTGGTAGAGTTGATGGGCGCCACATACGGAGATTTTCTAACGCCAAAAGCATCCGTTCTCATTTGCAACGACCCCAAAACAGCCAGCGTTGACAAATTGCGGCATACTGGCGAGTGGGGGGTTCCAGCAGTGTCTGCTGACTGGCTTTGGATATCTATTCAAACTGGCCAAAAGAAGGCATTCGAGCCATACCTTGTCCGACGACAATTACCCCCAAGTGCTGGCAGCACAGAGGAACTCGGTTCTTTATCTGCTAAGCGAAAGCAGCCTGACAGACATCTTAATGAAACGGGTTCCCCGTACAACATCTCTACCGAGTCTATGAATGGTGGTAGAACCGAAAAGCAAAATTCTGGAAAGAGCGCTGCAAGTCGAACAATACCCATCGTCGGCGACGGCTTTGAGGCCGATGCACCGAAGCCCTCCGTGCCGGAGTCTCGATCTCCAACCCCGGCCAGGATACCAGACGAACAAACCGCAGTGGAACCGAATAACAAACAGTCCACGCCAAATACTGACCCGGCACCACCCACTGGTCCATCCGCACTGGATACGGCTCTGAGCGGGCTCCTACAGCAAGCCCGCGCTGCCAAGTCACGACACCAGTCTGAGAACACCACGACCAATGATGACGAAAATCCACCCCGACGAAAGCGCAAGCCCCTCCTCGGCCGCGCCCCGTCCCACTCTTCGGCGCGAATGCTGGAAGGCCCGCGGCCTGTCTCACGCGCCAGCTCGATCGATACACTCAACGACGATGGCCTCGGCAGTGCCTTAGAGAGCGCCCACCCGACCAGAGCCAACTCCATAACCCGCAGCAACAGCCGTGTCGAACAAAGCCTGTCATCCATGCTCAGCGATGGTAAGTTTGATTTCCTGAATGACAAACTCCCGACCCATACCGAGGACGAAGACGAGGAAAATCAGGCACCGCAGATGACGCAGCTGGATTATGAAGATCCCGATGCGGCTGCCATGAGGGCGGAGTTCCTGAGGGGTGCTGGGAAGTTGTCTGGTAAGGCAATGAAGGCCGATAGCTCGGGTTTGCTTGTCGGTGAAGTGCGCGAGCTTGAGGATATTGGGTGGGGTTCTGGGCGGAGGACGAGGAAACAGCCTGTTAAAGTGGACGATGAATGATTTTTGCTTTTTATTTTTCTCTCGGCGAAGGCATGGCATTGCATTGGGAATGGCGTCGTCCTCTTTGGTCCATACATTGTTTTGAAAGAGCGATATATAAGGGTTGTTAATGATAATCCAACTCGGCTCTATACTAAGCAAGCTACATGTCCCCTGGCCTAAGCTGCATTTTTGATACTAGATATTTTAGGGATAAGAAGGAATACGAAGGGATCACCAACAGGAGATATTTTGAACTAGATGCACCTCTCAATCGCTTAGGGAAGTTAGATGTGTTGGCCACTCCGAACGATGGTTGTGCTTTGGGAACCGTCGAGGGCTACCTGTAGCCAGCGGTGATTGGAGGTTCACACGTCGATGTGAAAGATGGACTCGAGCTAGCGTTAGAATGATTGCAAAGGCACCTGGCTTGTTATTCTCGTCGATTCACTCCACAGATCGGTAGAAGATATGCACAGTCTGATGCATTCTGACGTGCTCACTGTTGCCTTATGCAGTGGGGTTGGGAATATCTTCAGATTCGCTACTTACAAAACATGGTATTAAGCGGTGTCGAAGGCAGTCTAAAATTGGTGAGAACTATCCTTAACTATCCAGCTTTGCTGTTACAATTATGAAATAAATCAGGTGGCGCGCACTGGCAGAGTATGTCATGTATTCTATAAACCACTTCAAACAACAAAATATCCGAGAAAAAGCATCTCGAGCAATGGGAATACAAGCATTATTTGTACGCAAATTAACACAATGTAAAAATAACCAAAGTGAACAACTACACATGCTAAACTATTCACTTGCCCTTTTGGGCATCATTATGGGCAGCACCCTCATCTCCCTCTTCTTTTCCCATTCTTGGTGGTGAATTATGGTCAGTTCCACCACGAGAAAGCCACTCTAGAGAAGATATTGAATGGGCCGTATAGTCGAAGCTTCAAGAACGAATTGAGATCATGGGGGTTCTGAGGTTTGCCATCGAAACGCAAATAGTCAAGGTATTGCGAGTGTATATTGCGACAGCATAAAATGATACTTGCCAATTGGGTTGGCTCTGGTACCTACCCGAATGGTAAGGCGCCATTGATCATTCATCAATCGCGAATGTGATGGGAGAAGAAGTGATCAATCAAAAGTGATAATGATAATGATGATGATGGATGGAAGATAAAGACCTAGCTACTGCCATGAAGCTCTCTATATAGTTCCATGCTACAAAGCCACCAGATTCCATCCTTCAGAAACCAGAAGAAGCATCTCTGCAGGCAAACAAAGAAAGTGCCAACACAGCAAGCTAAACGACAAGCTACCTGTCAGAGAAGTGAAAGAAAAGGAAAGGAATGCCACAGAGAGGTTTACAATATTACGTGCTAGCTAGTTACTAAAGCAGTTTCTCAAGTAGTTGCTAAATAAGTCGCTAAAGTAATTGAAGATAAAGCAGTAAATTAAGCAGTTAGAGGCAGGGGGGAGAATAAGCCAGTAACAGGGGTACTTTGCGTAGCGTTAGAAGTTGGAATCAGTGGC